GTTCTACGCCCTCACGAAATTCAACAGTCCCTGTTGGTTATATTGTAAAGCAATAAATGTATATATTAAGTGATACCTGAATATCGAATTATATACCGCAGTCTATATTTCGAATCGAATATCGAATTATATACGCAGTCTATATTTTACTATATTTCTAGTATTTGTCAAAAATCACAAATCTCGATCCTTTTAATTATGCACTCTTCTCGGGATCTACGGTCATTTACGTTTCCGAAGATGAACATTCGATCGTGCTTTTTGCATCGGCTTACTAGGATTCATAATTGTCCGCCATGGTAAATTAAAGGCCATAGAGATAGAGTCGACTAGGTGGATAAGGATTAAGATAAGGGTGGCTGAAAGAGGAAGCGGAGGGACAGGGAAGGGAAAGAGGGAGGGCACAACGGAGTATGAAAGATGGGGTCCCGATAATCGAACGGTGAACCGGATCAATTAAATCCTACGGGCCAGACATTAATTATCGAAGGTGTCGTCGACAGTTTCCGATCGCGCGTGCAATCGAAGTGCGATATTCGGAACGAGTTCAGGATTTTGCTCGCGGCGCATCCTCCTCGTTCCGCCACTCCCATTCCCCCCCAACCTATCGTCGTCTCTTCGTTTGCTCATCCTCAAGTTCCCCAATTGCTCTTTCGGCTTCATTTCGGCTACTTTGAATGTTTATTTATATCGATCTCAGTTTACACCGCGATTAAATTGCGGCAATAACTGGAAACGACGTTTTAGATCAGATACTTTTAGCGATTCCAGAATTAGGGGATGGCATCGAAACGTCAGTCTATGCATCAATAAAATTTCAACAAGAATAACTCGTTTAATTTTAAAATATTGACGTGTTCCTTCAGAAGCATATTTTTATTTCATTATATTTATATATTATAATTCTCGGGTCGAACTTGATTTCGATGCGACATTTTGAACAATCTATTTTGATCCTAAAACCGCAGAAACGGAAATTTGAGACATCATCAGGGACAAAGTAAGGATAAATTATATTATGAGAATTGAAATTTTGTATGTGTGTATGTGCGATCCTATGCTGCTGTCTTAGTTCCTACTGTGCTATAAAATTAAAAGTTTAACGTAGAACCAAAATTTCGAGTCAGGTTGTGTCATATCATTGTACCATAATGTAAAAGATATATCTTAAAATCGCTGAAACTATCAAACGGTCGATTGTGATGTAACTTAATGTAACATAATCTAACCTAACCGCACTTTACCACTGTATATCTTCGGTGATGTTGAGGCTTGTACCCTCTTACGCCAACCGATCTTGATTCGCGCAGTCATGTGAAGAAATTGCGAATATAATCCGGGATGGCGGTAAATATCGAGGATGTTAGGCAAATGCCGATGTCGATGGCGTATATCGAATTATTGATAATTCACAGTGAATTTTGATGCCGGCAAATATAGCTGCTATGGCTGAACGTGACCTAATGGGATCGCGCCGAAAGTCGATACTCATCATCGTGACGAGATCTCGCGTCTTAATCGGATTTTATCGCAGCTTTTCCGTGATTTAACGGAATATCCTGCGCTATTTCTGTCGTAGTTCCGCCGTTTATTTCCGAGGTGAATGACATCACATATATCTCTTGATACATATTATGTGGAAGTAATTTAGAATTAATTCTGGCTTAAGTGATAAATAACGCAATAATTAATTTTACAATAGCTACAGAAAAAATGTGACTTTAATAATATATTAATTTTAGTACACAATTATTCTAACTTAGTTTAATTTGGCGTCGCGACATTACCGTGTCGCTTGATTTAAATAACAGAAGAAGAAGGATAATGTGACTTATCTTTAATTTATCTACGTTAAAAGTTTCATTTATTTAATTACAGTTATTGAGTTAAAGTCGAATTTAAATACACAAATTGAGCACGGTACCGATATAAAGAAAGAGAATTTATCAAATTAGAAAATTAGTATAAAGCTAAAGGAAATCACGATTTTAAAAAAAATGAATATTTGAAAACTTTTAAAGATGCATGGAAAAAATGTCGAGACTTTAAATCCTAATTTATTCTTAAGAGTTTGAAAGCTTCTTTTCTTCCATTTCATTAGAGTCTTTCCTCTTGAATATTTCTCTTGTTATATTTCTTCGAACATATTTTCTGTACATATTGTTTTATAAAATTTATTCCAAGCTTCAAAGGCTTTCATGAACTTGAATTCTCCTTTCTATGAAAGTTCTAATTGACGCGTAATTAAACTTATTTCGCGTTAAAGAATAAAAAGCTCGAGAGAATTTAAGCATCTAGAATGCACATGAAAATAAAAATGTTACCCTTCACTTAATTTTGAATAAAGCTTAAATTATGTAGAATTTCATTTGAGCATTAATACGTTTTATGTATTTCATACATGAATATATTTAAAACTGGAAAACCGAAAACTATTGACAAAAGACAGCTGAAGAAAAATTTATGTCTAAATTAATCGAACAATATTTAAAAATGTTACATTATGTTTTCATCTTTTGTTTTATTTAAAATGTTATGAAATCCATCGCAGCACGCGCATGTGTAAAAACTATTACTGTTTAATATATGTGCGACAAGAATGTCCTTTGTAAATGTACAGGGAAATAAAACGCACGGAGCGGATGTTGTGCGTTGCGTACATGCCGGAAATGTCTCGTTGCATTACTTTATATCGCGTTAAACTCTCCCTGCGCGCCGTTGTCGCGAATTAACGTCGGTTACATTTTTAACGACGAGCGTGGCGTTTTTGAGCGGCTTAAATATGGTGTCAGGCAATCACGCTGTTTGAATGATCGGTGATCCAACTAAGCCTCGTTTAAATTTTAAGTGAAAAAGACCAGGCGGGACGGGCATCGATCGTTCGTGGCAGCTTACGAGCCTGCGCCTCTGTTTTTATCGTGTCCGATATACATACAACGTCCCAGGCATAATTTTCTTTTTCTCTCTCTTTGTCGAACGAAGTTGTCGAAGAATATAGGTTCTCCTTCAATATTAAGATCGACTGAAAGTAATCAGTCCCCAAATGCCAGCGAATTATTTTTCTCCATGTAAGAGGGATTACCGTACAGTTGAAAGTATTCGTTTCAGCATCGCAAACTCACATCATTGTCCGATTTACTCGATTCAAAGCAAACTTGTATGTTATGCTTGTACACCTGCTTGGCCAATAGTAATTCTATGCTCTTCGTACCACTAACTAAACTTGGATATACTACGTTTTAATCAATACCGAGGTAATATAGACAGTACTATGCTATTCACAATTGAGGCAAACTTGCTTGTAATGCTAACCAATACTAGGTCAACATTCACGTTGCCAGGCGAACTTGATTCTTGCTCGATAGATATCCGGCCGCTTGTTTTATCTCCATTACAGATGATGTTCGTATATTTAACGAAAACGAAACTATCGAATTTGTCGCGCGATATAACCGGTTAATTTTACGATGATAGATGGGCTCTTGTTACGGTTAATTGGATTATCTGATACACACCCGATGACTTCGTCGAAGATTACTTTCTCGAATCGGGAAGTGCCGTCAGCGTTTCACCGGCGCGGAGTTCTCTTCACGTCGTCCCTATCAAGCATTTACCTCTTCCGTCGTCAAACATTCAGACATCGTTTCCTCGAAGTTTTCTCCGGAGGGAAAAAGACGAAGAAGCCGGGGGAGGCTCTATTTCCGGTCGGCGGGGTCCGTATCGGGCCCCAACGCGAGAGCGCGAAATGGCCGACTTAAGGAAGTTTTACTGCGAGACAAACCGGAAGTGATTCGGCTACCCCGAGGGAAACTTTCCTTCCTTCCTGCGGGCTTTTTCGCCGGATTACGGCCGCCGACGAACATCCATTCTCGTTTAACGCCTTTATTTACCGTTTGCGGCTGTCTCTCCGGCTTCCTCCCGCTTATCGGAATTTTCTACGTCGCGCTTTTTGCCGTTGCTTTATTCTTCTCGCTGCTCTCGCCAAGGTTAGGGCGCCCTGACGATAAGGGCCGATGAATATCCGTTGCAGCGAACGTCGCTCGCGTCCTCGAGAACCCTCTCGATATTCCATTCACTCGGTCGCATCTCGCCGATATGAATCGAATGATACGAAGTGGGCGAAGTATCTTCCCGCGGACGTGATGTAAACTGTCGGGTCGTCGAGCGAATACTCCCACGCCCCTGGGGCGTTTTTTGCCACGGAGCAAGAAAACTTTGACGAGACAGGTGTCCGTCTCGAATTGCATTCTCCCCCGTCCGATTGCGTCTCGGTGGCTGACGGCCATTAGTATCGGCACGAAAAAAGGCCCCGGGGTGACTGTCGAATGACACCGGGAGCAGCTATTTTTTTCGAGTCCAAGTGTGCCATTTTTTGCGTCGGCTCTGTCCTCTATTGCACAGGGTGTTCTTTCTATCCCTCTTTTTTTTTTTTTTTTTTCGGCTCGCCAGTGTCCCTCGGAAAAATCTATAAATCTAGCGCGCGGGCTCGCGAATGTCAGGACCATTCGTCAGCGGGCAGATTGGCGGGGGGTGGGGATGGATTCGAGGAGGTCAGAGGGGCGGTGGGGGCATACGCGGCCAAACCCGTGTCAGGTGAACGCTGCAGCTTCGTCCCACATGCAATAAAGCCGCGACGATTTTACGAGCGAGGCGAGCCGGATGACGAGGTAATTTACCTCCCCGTTGGGAGAGGGATGAAGAGACGACGGGGATGAATCCATGCCGTGACTCGCTACAAGGCGCTTCGATCGGCCCGATAAAGGTCGCCGCTTTTTACCCGACACCCCGCCGCGATTTTTCGTATCTTCGTGGAATCTTCAATCTTCGTTCCCAGGGCTCGGTACCGATCTCTATCGACTCGGCATTATGAACAGCGCATCCGGCGCAAACGGCTTTAAGCGTTACGCACTGTGGTGTATTTTACAATCCGATGCGAACGCACATTCGATCTCCGCGAAGATCCAGAGACTCAGATGCGACTGTGAATCCGATCGTTCCAGGCTGGTTTCCTCGCCGACGCGACAGAACGAAGCGGCGAGCAGCAGTAGCGGCTCGACTCAGCACGGGGCAACGTTCGCGGTCCGGGTCGGCACGATCGACGGGGTGATCACGCATCACTTACGGGCCGAAACGCGAAGAGATCTGGCGGCCTGGGCGCGGGCGATCGTTCAAGGCTGCCACGCGGCCGCTCACTCTCTGCGGGAATACACTGTCCGTAAGTATCTTCGCGCCTTTGACCGGCGGTCTCGTCTAATTCCTTCCTTAATTTAATAGAAGAGGATAAAAGGTTCGGTAGTGAATGAAATGTACCGGAGAGGCGGAAGGGATGTGTCGCGTTGGACAATGGGGTGCAACTCGGTGAGATAAAAATTCCGGAATACATCATGCCACTTTGTTTTCACGCTGAATGCGAATGTTGTTTCTCACATAAACAATGGTGTAATCTGAAACGTAGTCGGCGGTGGTGTGCGGTTCGTATAAACCGCGTAGCTTCTGTATCCGGGTCCTCGAGTATCCACCCGGTGTCTGCAAATGTTATCCGAGTACTCGAGTATTGATCGAAGTAATCGGACGATCGGAATCAAAATTGCCAATTACATCCGGGTAGTATCCATTTTGTTAATGATGTTATTTCAATCGTATGATCTCCTATCAGATAATTTTGCCTTTTTTTTCAAATATTTTATATGCAAATCACCGTATTCGAATACTCGGTAGTGGTGTATCTGAATAAATTTCATCTCTTTATTTTTCATCTTAGGCCATCGTGTAGACGACAAATCGCTTTATTCTAGAGATTTTATTTTATTCTTTGGAAAAAAATTGTCAGCTAATTTATAATTTTGCCAAACTAGAGAGGAAAAGTGAAATACTTCAGAAATAAATGGCGAGCCCGAGTTCTTCCTACTCAGATCGTATAGCAGGATCGAGAGAGACGGACGACATCTACGCTGCTGCTGTTCTCGTTCTCTGCGCTCGGTTCGATGAATTTTAATTTCTTTTCAGCGACGACGAACGGCAATAATAAATCGAGATGAATGCTTCGCCCGTTTCATACGCGTCTTTTTGTTCGCGTCTCGCGTCGAATTCATCGATGATAAAGAATCGTGGATACCGATGCGGCAGAAACGCGCGTGACGAGGAAAGAAACACATATACAGGCTGGCTCATAAAAAGATAGTCTTTGCAGGAAATTGAATTGAAGCAATATGGTTTTACATATTTTATATGCAGCAATGGGGTAATATCCGAAAAAAAGAGAAATCTCATTCTCTACATTCTCAACATTCTCAGATTTTATTGATTTTTATTAAAATCGAACTCCAGGAAAACTCACACATTTTACTCTACCTTATTCATCATTAATGGTTATATAAAATATAAAAATATAAATAACAAAATTTATGGCAGCGTATAAAATATACAGTTCGAACAAGTTCAATTAGGTTCGATTAAAAAAGATTTTTTGTTTTTTTTTTAACCGTTGTTTTAATTTTATGATACTTCGCGTGTTCCAGGTTGCACGTGGCAGGGCAAGTCCTGTCAGCTAGTTGTCAACCATGAGGAAGGTTTCGCGCTTTACACCGCCGGAACGCGGGGCACTGCTGGGAATGGCGTGAGTCCTGGATCGCCGCCCACGCCACTCTGGAGAAGATCCTTCGACAAATTGAAAATGTCCTCGGACGACGGCGCCCGTCTTCTGTGGCTCGATTTTGGAGGCGAAGACGGCGAAATTGTGAGTACTTGATAGACACGGATTTAAGCACGATAGAGATCAAAAAGATCGATTGTAGTGTCTCAAAGAATAAGATATCAGGATCGTATATTTTTTTGAGAATGTCGTTTATATTAATCAATTCTTTTCTTCGGTTATATTTCATCCATTCTATTTGAGTTAGATAAAATATTATTTTAAATTAGCTTTGGTATATATAAAATAAATATAGCTTCTACACAGAGAAAAAGGTTTCATTGGACTTAATAAAGTTTCTTTAATTGAAACAAATTTGTCTTTTGAAATGGAATAAATAAATGGATTTTTGATTCAACAAACAGGATTATCAAACAAGTTCCTCAATATTTTTGTGTCAAATAACATATTCCTTTGAACTATTATTTCCACCTAAATTTCTCGTTAGGTCCTATAAGATCAAATATTATAGAATCGTCTCGTAGTGATCGTCTCCCGCATCAATTTTTCCATCGGGGAATGAGAGCGTCCGATTGATTCCAGTTCCCACAAAACAGTTTCCTTATTCTCCAAATGCAGCCCTTTAGAAACTTTAAGGCCCTCGTACGTTGTTAGCTATCCCATTGAAAATAAGACGGACTGATTGATCCTGTTGTAGGAGCTCGACCTAGAGAGCTGTCCGAAACCGATCGTGTTCGTCTTGCACAACTTCCTCTCGGCGAAAATTCACCGGCTCGGTCTGAGTGCATAGGGGCACGAGGGGGCCCTGACAGAGGCCCCCGACCTCCCTCCTCACACTACCAGGTCCGTTACCAGCGTCTTTCTTCACTGAACCAGAAAGAATTGCGACGCGAAAGGGAAAGGGGGGGCTTCTCTTTTCGATGATTCGACGGTAAGGAGATTCGATGAGACACGAAATGTCCTGACGGATAAATTCCGCGTCGCGTGCATCCTCTTCTGGTTCTGGAGCTTTGGAAATCAAGGAGGAAGGGATTTGGAGTGAGAGAGGGTTAATAGTAAGATAATAAGTTCAGAAACGACTGGTAGAATAAAGAATTCGTGAGTAACGGTCCGAGGATTCCACAATTGGGAGGCTCTATAATATGAGAAACGGATCTAACAGTCCCAGTGTAAGTGTTTTCCAAGTACATAATATTCCAAAGGCTGAGAAATCTAAGATTCCACGTATCAAATATTTAAGATTTAAGAGTCCATCGATCTAGATTCTAGTATTTGCGAATGTAAGATCTAGTTGCTGGGGACAGCGCTAGAGAAAGAAGGAAAAAAAAAATGAACACGCCGGGAACCGAAGATTTTAGAATCCTCAAGGGTCATATCCTACTTTGCAAGTTATATCCGCGTGCTCCAGCATTTAATGTGTCAGGTATTCTCGAAAGCCCAAGCGTTCGCAATTTCCAACAAATTTCCGAGGTGACGGGATCCAGTGTCTAAAGCTCCAAAAGTGTCCGAAGTTCAAAAGTCTCTCAACGGCCTAGTTTTCCTTACTGAGGATCCGAAGTTCCAAATCGCACATATCCCAGAATTCTCGGACTCGGTCCAGGGATCCCAGCGTCTCGTCAGGGAGATACAAGCGGGATAAAGGAAAGGTTGTATAAGTCTGATGGTGCATGTTGGCGAGGATCTCCGAGAGAAGCTCGATCGCGATAAATCGTGTCCGTCGACCCGAGACGGTCGTTAAAAATCGGACGGCAGTCCCTTTTCTCGCTTTTCCCCGTAACGATAATCGATACGAAGCCATCCACGAGACGATATATCGAAGAAAATACGACAAGAACGGAGAAACGAAGAGGAACACCCACGCCGCTAATCAACGCGCCTAAGTAACTAATTAATTAACTACTTACCTAACCCTAAGTCTAATCGCGAGGAACTGACTCGGCAGATTATCGATAAATATACAGTGTCGGGTGTTGCGATTTCTGTAACGAGCATGTAAATCAGATGAGCATGGTTGTTTAAGCGATTGTTTAAACGACGATGACGAGACACGGCCTGCGAATGTAATTTGAGCAGTCAGGCTTCCGGGAAATAATGTTGCGCAGTTGTAGAATCGATGATTGTTAAATAAAAAAAGAGAAAAAAATTAATGTTTCCATTGTCGGAGAGATAAACCATTCATGTTAAATCAAAATTTCTCTCTCAATTGTGTTGACTATTTGTTTTCATCAGAAATTATTTGTTTAATAAAATTTGCGGAACAAATATTTTATTGCAAACAATAAAACGCCCGGGTAAGGGCTTCGATTTTATTGCGTGCAAATATTTAGATTTAATTTTAATTTAATTAATTTAATTAAGTCGCTTTAATTAAATTACGATATTTTAGCAGATGATTTACATGCCATTTTCGCCTTTGTCAATTTGTGCTTTAATATCTTCGTTAATGTATTATTTGGAAACAAATGGAAATAGGCCACTGATGAAAACCCTGTTAGTTTGACGAACTTCAGATATTGACACTTAGTCAATTGTCGTATAAATTGTCTGTTATTTCGATCGATTCCATCAATTTTCAATATTCCACACAGACATTCTTCTTGTATGACATTTTGACGAGAGATCTCGCGAAACTAACACAACATTCTTCGCGACGTAAAATCGGAGGGTTTGCCTTCGTCGTTTAAACATCGTGGTAACTCTGCGCGCATGGTCGAGAGACGTTTAAGTGAAAAGCGTACTTGTTACGAAAGTAGAAACTAATCACGATAAGGCCCGTGTTTCCATCGTGCGTTTAGCGCTTGACACGGTCACCCGGTCCTAAGATCTAATCCTCATCAAGTTATCACGTTGTGTGCATTTGACGTGACCTTAGACACCAATCATATATAATCACATTTAATATTATATAATATTATATTACGACAGAATTGAGACTATATCCACGATAGAATCCACTATAGAGCGTCACAATGTCGTAATATTTGAAAGTAATATTCCAGGAAACGCGCGGCGACATTTAATGCCACATTTGTGTCGATGTAATTGCGGGACTCCGGCGTTAATCGCACTGTGGAAACACGGCCGTTATTATCTAACAATGAGCCGCCCGTTGGCATTCGACCTGCCAGTTCCCTCGAAGACTTGAAGAGTTTACACGGTTTTTTAAGCTTACAGCGGATTCTTCGCACTTTCTTTCCGATTCACGGTTCAATTTACGGTAGATCGAACAGAGGAAGAAACATATCATTAAAGTAACTCCACCTTGAAAGAGTCATATCACGCAAACAATGGATCCCTTCGTACAATTAGGTCACCGTCAGGATTGTTTTCCATATCTTGATTAATCGCTGGGATATAGATTTATAAGAGATTACGCACTGACCCTCTGTGAATTACAACACAGATATCGCAATAACGCGTTATATTAAGTGTTGCACAATGTAGTCGTTAGGCGTTCGTTTCGCGAAAGAAGTAACAACCGATTGTAACACGAAAATGCACAAAATATCAATGAATCAATGTGTGATATTAACGGTTCCTGCAATACGTGGACATCAAAATGACCGACGTGCACTGCGGTCGTAACGAGAGAGAATACAATCATTTTCTTCTGATAGTTGACAGGATCGTTTCGCCGGCGGAGATCGATGCTCGGCGGCGCGCCTGTTTAAATTTGCATTCCGACATTGAGAAGTAAGGAGATCAAAACGGACATTCAGCGGATTACGATCGTCTCATTTTTAGATATAAAATCTGAAAGTATAAAAATCGCACTCGGACAATTGTGGAAAGAGGAGTCGTCGGGTATTGTAGAGAAACGGTCCCGAGAATCGACTGTCGTATATTCGGCGGTGAGTGTCACACCTCACGTACTTTAATTTTACACCGAGATTTCTGGTTCGTTTTTTTTCCGAAAAAAGTCGCGCGTGTCGCACCAAAGTCCGCGGAGTTGGGAACACCTGGAAAGAACTTAAGGAGTTTACTCCCTTGATCTTCTGGCGAGAACTTTCCGAGATAACGTGTTTCGTTTCGGTAAGACGATATTTATGTCACTCCCCCTCCAATCCGCAGTCAAAGCGCCTCGAGTGAGTATACGGAAGTTGGAATATCCTGCGCGTTTCTCGGCCAAAATACCTTCTCGGAATTGTACTCGAGAGCCGCGAGGCGATCGCCATCGATCTCAGCCAGACAAAATGGAAATATCCTCCTCGCGACCGTTCCGAGGCGAGAAGCGAGGCTGACTTACGTTCAGGATCCTTCGTCTTCATGTCCTCGCGTTAAAAGAGGATTCCGGCGTTCTTGAATTCCTGAATTCGGCACTGTTAAGATCCCGGTCTGGCGATGCGCGCACATTCACATTTCTTTTTATCGCCGGGACGACAGCTGAAGTTGCGCGAAAATGTAAAAGTGAAGTTTTGATATAACAATGCGCGACGAAACTGAGGTAGAAAATGAAAGAGTTAGCTTACGTGCGAAAACTGGGAAAAAAGGAGCAAACAGCTGTTTTCCCCTCCAAGAATATCAAATGGTGAAGTTTAGTGTGCAGAATCGAGGGAACCAAGTGTGTCGATGCTAATCTAGAAAAATGATCCATTTTTGCACGATCGAAAAAATTGCCCAAACGATTGTTGCACGAAATTCCTTAAACATTTTGATTTTATGGACGTATGAATTATGATTCATACGTTCGCGATAAATTTGCACAACAGTCGTTGCCGGGCAAACTTTTAGGTGGTGTATGGTTCGTCAAAAAATATCGTTCTGAACCACTTCGGCGTTGCTTATGACTTTAGGCGAAACTTCATCAGAGGAGCGGAACGCGAGCGTGGAGTAGAAGCAGGTTCCTTCATAAATCAATGGGCGGCCATTCTAGCTGTTTTGTACGATTCGTATCCTTTAACGCAGATAAACCTAAGATAGTAAGGAGCGTCGATGTGTGCAGCCTGATTTCTTTGTTTCTCCGAATTGCATGTTAAAATTGATTATTCGTGTCTTCACGTTGAAGATGAAAAGTGTAACTATTTAGAGATCATCGGGAGAAAGGAGGATGAAGTTTCGTGATTCTTGTTCTCAAAGAGAGATCCATGACTCTTCTGCCCTAAAGATAAAAATAAAATAAAGGCTGTTGGAGGATTTAATAATCAAAGAATCCATGACTTTTTACAATCGTCAAACTCTAATTTTTTAATGATACGTTTATAAGTAAATTTAATTTTACTAAAGTTTACTGATAACTTATTCAAAATAAATGTTAAGGCAGCGTCCAATACAAATCACGGCGTCTAAGAATGAAAGAATTAAAGAATTTATGTATCTGGATAAATCATCAATTCTAGAGTTTACAAATGGTGTAAGGATTTGCATAAATTTAGTTTTCCAAAGTCTCAAGGTGTCCTGTAAAAGTTTACAAAATCCTTGTAAGCCAAATTTAGACGATCTATGCTCGTGGTTATTGCAAATTTGCACTCGAGAATTCTTTTAATTTTACAAGCGAAAGTGTCGACTCGGAAATTAAATATATATTAGCAATTATCTGTCACTGGAGTCCTTAAATGATTTAGAAACGACGAAATCAGGCGTCGAAGGAATTCTATCCTTGACACAAAGTTGCGGAAGAATGTAAGAATGGATTTTCTTCACAGACTTTTATAGCATATTGAAGTATATTAACATACTATACTTCACCAGACTATATATCAATGTAAGTAATCATTAGCCATTTCTTTCATCCGCATAATTTGCTGCAAGATGTACCATCTGTGTCACCGACGAAACAATAAAAACCGTTTCTCTATATTCAGAAATTCGTTCGTAGCATTTCTACATCTTGGAGTATCACACATTCCTGAATTTGTTTCTTCTTCTCGATACTTGTTATATAAGCAATTTCCTTTCACTACTGTAATAATAACGAAACGATAATATTAATATTAATAACGATAATATTAATAATAATAATAACAATAATAATATTTTTACTACTGGTAAATTCTTGTATCGCAAATTTGACTAATATGGCGGTCTGGTGTGTGTTATAGAGGCCTGTGATTTTCTTTCTCTGTATAAATTCGAGTGTCTCCCATCGAGATTGTTGAGTGTTGTCTAGGGTGGACGTACAATAATAAGATTTAGGCATTAAGTAGACATATCAACGAAACAATGTATCATTGATTGTCTCCATTTGTCATTCTCCGAACGCTTCTTGCGCTTCTCGAGCCGAACCGGCGGAGTCTTTCAAACGCCTCGTAATTTGCCCGCGGGCTCATTCGTGTATATAGATTATTTAACGCTTTCGCCGCCATGACGATTACTGACAATCGCTCGTTTATTGTGTGTCTGTCCAAAATTCTCGACAACGTTGCACTACGCTAATCAGTGATTCTCTATGGCTAGGGAGTTAGATTAGGTTGGAAATGATTAGGACTATCGGTGATTAATTTTCTCAAACTTCCATTTGTCTGTGTATAGTATTAGATAAACTGTGTAAATATATTATAATGAATATTTTATAAGTTACGCGCTAGTGATATGCAGTCTAATCTTTGGCATCGGGAAGAGTGGCGGCGAGAGTGTTGATGATTACGGCAAATGACTTCGCGCCCGTTTCGGATCGGTGGAGCGTAACTCGCAGAAACATGCGTAAGCAACTGTTAACGAGTTATTAACGCGATTATCAGTGACAAGCTAAGTTAAACATTGTGAATTTCGTTGGCGGATTCGTTCGCGCGTGAAATGTGTATTTTTATAATGATTTAGAGCGAGTCGTTACCAGAATGTGACGAGATTTACTTTTGCTTTACTTTCTTTAAGTTTAGAATGAGTTTATGTATCGATGAGTTACCAAATAAAAGAGAGCGGTTAGAACATCGAACGGTGTTGGTTGTCTTTCACCCGATCTCATAAGATCATTTCATCATGCAGGAATTTCTTCATTGTGTTTTCGAGCTCTGAACTGTATCAATTCTCCGGGTTCCACGATATGAAGTGCCCTCGCAGTAATTTAAGTTTATTTTTGCTTGCCTAAATATAATATTTCAGCCTTAGATTTCTAATTAAAATTCCTTACGAATAAGAAATGTTTTTACTTTCACCGCACAAGGATAATTTAATAATAATTTAATAATTTATAATTTAATATTAAAACTTTTACGGTTTAATTTAAACTTTACAATTACGACTTTATTTAAGTTTTCTCATTCAAGTTATTTCATTCAAGTATTTCCCATGATTATAAATTTTCACATTGTTACGTGGAATTATTTGTATATGTGTATGTACGTGTATATTTATGACGAAGAAGAATCAGGAAACTTTAGAAGTTTGTGTAAAGGTAAGTATGCATAAAAATAATCAATTTCAAGAAGATGAGAAAATGGTGATATTCTCTTGGACATGTTAATATGCGACCCACGACGCACGAGTAATCTATGGGTTAAGACCCTTATTATAATCGTGGACGAAGAGAATGGAGAACTCACGTTGGGCGAGGCTTATACAGAATGTGCAACGTTTAATAGTCCAATCTTTGAGCGTAGTATTTCTCAAAAATAAAGTACGTCAGAAAGCGTACATTATAATAATATAGATACATTTCAAATATTTATAACGAATCTGCAATGCGGATTTTTTTCTTTATGAGGTCTCACATTTTCCTCACGCTATTCGTTACTGATTCGATCAATAACATAACTAATATTCATTTCCCCTTGCTTATTTTGAGAAATGTCATAAGCATCTATCCGAAATTCGGATCATCAATTTTTACATATTCTGTATAACGAACGTCTAGAACGGTGCACGTGATTTACGTGCGGTAAGCCCCGCGAGCGAAACCGAGGAGATTCTCGACCGGAAGACAGATCAGAAAAGTTTCGCGAGCCAATCACGAGACGTGGATATCGGGACTGCCGATAAAAATGACAAAGTCTCAAAAGTTTTGTTCCACCGTCCGCCCTCCGTTCCGCGGGCACCTACTTTCGTCGTTTCCAGTCACGAAGCTGCGCGATTCTTTTGAATTTCTTTCCAACTCCAATCGCGCTGTCGTAAATTATGTATCGAAACGCAAAGATGAACAGAATGGAGGTACGGTATCGCGATGCTGACGGCGGGCTACCTATCATTTATTTGGCATAAATTTGCCGAATGTAAAGACAGAAATAAGTTGTCATATATGTTACTTTATGTTAAAGTTTTGTTAATACAGAATGGAAGTATAATAATGTGAGAAATAAAGGGAATTTTTATTCGCTGAATAATGGTTACACAAGTTGGAGTTATTACATAAAGTTGGATATAAAAAAAGATTATAAAGCTGAAAAATTAAGATCATGTTACTCCTCAGAATTATTAAAGCGAAAAAGATGGAAAAGGAATCGATTTATTAATTTCTTTGTCATCTTCAATAAACGGGCTGAACTCGATAATTGATATCGTAAATATTTTAAGAAATTAATGAACTAAAGATCGATACGAATGGAATGCAGAGAATGGTGTGGCGTGGTATTGGTAAAATATCTCGCCAGCCTTCAAAATAAATTACAATAAAGGAATACCTTGAACTTCTCGAGATCATGTTCAATCTAATTTCAATGATAGATATTAAGAAATTTTCTCCCACAGTGCCATTTGTGTCAAAAATAATCGTCATTATTGCTTCAGTTAATTGTCTATCGTTATTATTCTGCGAGATTTGAGGTTTAATTCAGAGATTCATCGGAGAAACTTCACATATGCTATCAATATTTTATTTTAGAGAACAATTTTCCGCGAAATCTAATTTTTTAAGCCATAAGAAATAAAATAAAAAAGGCTCTCTCTCTCTCTCTCACTTGTAAAGTGAATTTCTCCACATAGTGCAATTGTATGAAACGATGCTGGGTGCGGATTTGAAAAAGATTTTGGAAAAGCGTTTTTTGCGATTACTAACCAACAACGGGCGTTGTGAATGGTGCTCCATGTTATCTGGTCTGTCTTTCGGCCGTCGCACGCATCATCGAATAGCGTGAATTATCATTGTGCTCGGCCGATTGTGCGCGGCAACCAAAAAAAAATTCCAAGCCGATAAAAACGATCGGAGATTTGACGCGTACAATATGGCGACGAATTTTCGAGCAATAGCTTTGTCAATTGCCGCTGCGTTATGAGGGTCGTGATATCCACCACCGTGTTTTGCGCTGCAAAACTTTATCGAAGTGCTTGTTATCGAAATATCGTCCAAATACAAAATTCTCAAATAGATTTACGAATTCTCAATACGCTTTACACATCGATACGATAGCAATTATCTACGGACGCAAACCGATTCCTACGTTGATGTACCTTTTAATGAATATTTTTGGATGGACTTAATTGCGGAGTAACGAGTCGCATTTTGAACGTCGTCATGTCGCCGATCAAACTTCGAGGAATAACAATCGATAAAATGTTGCTCTCGGCACAACTCTAAGCAATTTATGCTGCAATTTGTTTCGAGCAGATTTCATCTCGGCCTCTTATGCATTCGGCGCTGTAAATAAAAAAAGTCACGTCCGTGTAATTTATTCCAAGAAAAGTTAAGAAAACATACTGACGTAAACGACGAGAAGAGCGCTCGACGTAGAATGCGGAGCGAGATATCATATATTAACGACAAAATCTCTTAAAAATGTCCTCGTTACCGGGAAAATATCCCGCGGAAGGTCTCGGGGAGGTACCTCGATATCTCTTCGCACGGATAACACCGCGGCGAAACAAAGGCAGGCAACAAACGCGCTAATCTTATCGCTGTCCTTTTTTCTCCTAATAACGTTTCCTCTTTTACGCATGCTTCGCCCGAGCCGGGTCCTTTTAATCCTTCGCATCATTAACTCTCATCCCGCAGATCAAGCCGTCGCGGGCATAAAATGGCGGCGCGCGCTTTGACGTAATTGAAATTACGGCTTATCCGCGCGTGACGGCGACACCGACGGCAACGTCGGTGTTGGTTGCGGCCTGATAGCGGGATTTTTGTAACAACGCCGCTTGTTCGCGTGTCTCTCGGCACCCAGGGGGGAAAGGGCGCGATCGAATTTGAAACAAGCGCGCTCGCCGGGGCACGTACACGCCGAAATAACGTCGACCGCCGCCATTTGCATTTCAATCGGCCGTCTATCGTTCTTCGGCGTCCCGACGCAATCGCCTTGCGGCACGCCCGGCGTACCGACGCATTCGCTACACCCCGCCAGCTATTTGCCCCGCGCGAGAAATTAACCCCCTTTACGTGTCCGGCTCTTTTATATTCCCCTACGAATATCGCATTTATCAACTTTTCACANCCCCCCCCCCCCATCTGACGCGACGGTGGGAAATTATCCGAGAAGTATTAAGTAAGAATTTTCTGAATATACATAATTTATGTAGATTAGGCATTTAAAGCATAAAAATAAAAAAAAAATGTTAAAATTGTTTTATTTAAAAATATTTATTTTTCGCCTATTTATAACATAGTCGTTAAAGAATATCGGATAAAAGTTTCATAAATAGAATATATTTACGTTTTGTCATAAATAACTTTATATAAATCTGAGCGCCGTCGAGTTTGCTTTATATGCGATTACATATTTTGGTCTTCAGCTGGACGGTAAGACGAAACAACGGCGAAAACAGAAATTTAAGACATCATCAGGTTCAAAGTAGGGGTATGATGATATCGTTACAATTGAAATTCAATTGTAATCACCTATTTTGCTATCTTAACTCCTAGTGTGTTGTAGAATCAAAGGTTTAACACAGGACCAAAATGTCGACTCGGGTATGTAGAGGAACTCCAAAAAAAATCTAAGAGAACGTTGCAGCCTATCTTCCCTTTCGCAAACTGTACCGCACAAGACGGGAACGAAATATTTCTACTATTTCCAGAGAACATAAAAACTCTGCAGTCTTTCTGCAGATTTCGCATGACGTTTCACTTATCAACGCAAACCAGCCGGCATTCGCGAAATGCTAAAGCTCAAAAACGATTATTGCCGATATTTCCCGAGGATATATTAAAGAAAGCGTTTTCCAGGCAAAAGGCGGCGGCGGCGACGGCGGCGAATGCGTGAAAAGCGAAGAAAAGGAGGAGGAGGAGGAAGAGAAGGAGCGGAAGGGGGTGGGGGGGACAAAGAGGACAGACGGGGAGAAATTTAATATTCGCGATATTATGCATCGCGGTTTTCGATTGGCGGAGTCTCGCGAGAGAATCGCGAACGCTTATCGATCCGCGAATTCGTTCTTACGTCTCCCGACGTTCCGCGGAACAACTGAGCTTTTGTGGCAAGTTCGAAAGCTCTGACGGCTGTACGGATTGGTTATTAAAGGCGAAAGACGATGCACCTGCCTCCGCCGCGCCCGTTGCACAACTTAAGCTGTCCGTTGCAGTTGCGTAATAGTTGCGCCGGGCGAAATGGAGCGCGACCGTCGGGATGCGAGTTACGCGAAAATGATCGAATTAGATTACGACGAGGAACAGTCGCTTCTTATCCTCTCTTTCGTCACAGACATACGGGGAAAAACCATTTGTTGGCACAGCAAATGTTATGCTGTCGCAACGAAATCTGTCAGTTATTATATGGGCAGCAAAACGATTTGTTGGTAATACTAATTACCATTCGCTGAATTATTTTGCTAAATCTACGAATAATTTTGATGTAAGGACAAATTGGTAAATGTAAGAAAATGCTTCATTTAATTGAAACAAAATATTAATTTTTTTATTATTTATTCTTTTAAAACCATTTTTATTCATCAAAATTATAAAATAAAATAATTAATTTGATATTATATGCCTAAAAGTTATTTGTAGAAAAAATAATAGCATGTAATTTGTAATAATTATTATCAACAATATAGTTATAAGCTACTTTTTTTTATTCTGCTGGCGAGGGGAGGGAGGGGGATAATTTCACATATCATGTAATATTGGGAGGGAAGCAAATACTTTATTCCGAAATTGTGACGAAACGGAAGGATAAGAAATATTCCAATTTAGCGTGACATAATTGTTAGCCTCTAAAATGATATATGATATTAAATTATGTTGTTTATATTAAATAAAGTCAAGTCAAACAGAGACGTAGACGAAATCCAAAGAAACTCTTTTCTCTGCGTACGCGTTGCTGGTGAGAAACTGTTGCATCACACAAATGCGACGCCGTTAGCGAAAGTATTTGGAAACGTCCATGATAAATGTTGGATACTGTCGACCTCGGATCACCTTATCTGCGTCTTCAATTGATTCCTCGTTCTACGATGCACTTAAGGTGTTAGAGTCGATCGTTGCCGCCCTCCGTCTGCCAGGACTTCGGGGGATTCCCCCAGCGATGTTGGAAGCGGGTCAGTCGGGCGCATTCGAGCGGATCGCGACGGTCGAACGGCGACGTCCGGGGCATTGCGATTCAATATCGTTATCTCCGTAGCTTTCACAGAGCGAGGAACACGTATCTGCGTCGTACGTGTTCTGCGCTTAGCTCCCTCGACGTGAGATACACGACCTCGTTCCTCGTCCCCGGCTTCGCTTCCTCGCTTGCCGCGAGATTCCCGTCTTCCCTTTCTCACCCGGGACGCGACGCGAGGCAACGCGACGCAAAGCGTTCCGTCGTTGATCTACCGCATCGTTCAGAAGCGACTTTCGCTTCGATGGAAGCGACTTCGGCCGTCCCGATTTGGGAATTGGAAGGACGACTCTATGCTGAGTTCTAGTTCCGACACTGTAACCGCAACAACACGCCATTATTATTTCCTGTATATCCGTAGATATATTTTCTTTTGGTTTATTTATAAGTTGACGAAATTTTAATTATTTATATATTATATTTATATATTTTTAATTGTATAATATTTTGTGCTAAACAGGATCGAAACTATGTGGTCGAAACGTCCGCTTTTTCCATTCGTCGTTTATACTTGAAATAAATTTTCATATTATTAAATGTTACAGCAATGACTATCTTATTTGCCTTTTTTCATGATTTTATATAATTATTTTCATGATTTTATATAATTTATTTGTCTATAGACTTAAATATATTTTCCCATATTCATAGTGGAGTTAAGCCTCCTAATTATCGCGATTTCAATGTAATTTCAATCTTTGTAAATAAGGAATTAAATAATTTTCTTTACTTGAAGAAAACGAATTCCCGGCCGAAGGAGATATTTCATACATTCTTTAGTTATACAGTTTTCCCCTTGCTCTCTCGTATGTCTTTCGATCCTAACTGTTGCTGTAGGTATGCGAGCGCGATCGTCGAGCTCAGGTTTTGCCAGTTTCTGTAAATGCCTAGCTCACGTCAACGTCAGCGCCGCAAGGCCAGCTTAAAGGTCTGTTTACGTAAGAACGCCACTCGCGGAAGAGAAAACGCTGCTTTTCTTCTCTATCTTGCGCCTCGCTAGCGAAGCTCTCTCGGTCGGCGAGATGAATTCCGCGGTACGTGTTTAGCGTTGCACGTCAAAGCCAGTGCATTCCAGCATACAGGTGGGCTCAAAACACACGCGGGATCCCGGATATCGCAGTTTTCTAGATATTCCATTTTTTCATAACACGAGAAACACACATATTTTCTATGCACTTACGTGCTTGCAAATCTTTCCGACAAATTCTCGGATTGTTTGTCGTCATTTAGGAACCACCCACTGAAAGTTCATATCTTTATCTCAGTGAAAAAAGAGGAGGCTTTCCTTCATAAAATTGATTTTTTTCGTAATGTTGTATTTGTTTACTTCTGCATCTTTATTACCATCGAAGAACATTCAGTAAAGAATCGAAACGTTTAATTAATGTACTGTAGATAATAAAGTCTGGCTTTTTAATTTATTAGTTTAATTTTGTACATAGCAATACGGTATTCACACGGAACAAATTAGTTTTAAATCAATGATAGATTCTGATATATAAACAAAAGTATTATAATCTTCTAAGAATATTATAATATTCCCGCTTATGTATGAGAATATCTATCACTGATTTAAGACTATTTTTTGTGCACGCTTCATCGTGGTCTTTTAATTTAATTTCATAATTACAATGAGCATACTCCTTTATTAATTAATTGTTTAAATTAAATATTTTTAATTCTGATAGCAGAAATTAACTGTTTGTATAACAGACTATTTTAAATCTAATACGCTTGGTTATTATATTATTCCATTGGAAGTTTTTATGTTGAAATACATAGGAAATTGAGATAGGCACGTTTTAATTGAAGGATAATGGCGATGGAGAGAGGATTACGCAAAAAATGTTAACCACCTACGAGATTTCCCTTTTGTCAAAGGTACGTATACATTTTTCGACGCTTACAGTTGTCATATATATGCATTATATTGCTCTGGTATCTGGAACCACGCTTCACGCGGTTGGACCTTCTTCACGTATATACAGCTCTCGCGCGCTTCTCGAGAGAGATCTTCTAGATTAAAGTATTCGACATAAATTTCGGATTTACTTCCGGATTCCTGGATTCTTAGGATCGACGAGCGAACGAGTGCCGTGTATCTACAAAGCAGATTTCTCTACGATGACAGTGACGTCCAGTACCACTACTGCATGATTACCTATGAACTAGCGTAAATCTTATAATACAGATATATTATTATTGTGGCAACGTTCTCTAATTGGCACTAAGAATTCAAGATGAACGCGAGCGAATACTGTTGGTAAGAAGTATTATAATAATACCATGTTCTACCATGCCGTGCGTTACACTATTCTATATAATGTAAGTTACACGTGTAATCCGTAACCTGCTTCAAATGCACATATCGATATCCGTTATTTTCGGAAACACTTCTAGGGTATATGGTAAATGAAATGTAAGTCACGAATTTCGGGCTCCTTCTTGAAACAGATTCACTTCTGACGAGATATGAACTATATTGGATACGCTCGCGGTAAGTTGATAAAAAATTCGAGAGAGATATATATATATATATATATCGCTGGAGGGTCAATCTATATCAGAAGAAAATCGAAAAATCAATTATTGATCCACGTAAGAATAGAATTTATTAAGAACGTGAATATATTTTTAGCGTGTAATAAATTTATCTACCGTGAAAGCTGTTATTCATATCGCGCCGAAACTGGGAAACGTTGGCCATTTCGTTCGATTTTAACCGATCATCGTCGAACTTGTGACTCGCACTCTTCTTATCAGGCACCCTAGACTTCTTCGCAGGTATCTTATCTACATGGAAGACGAACGTAGCTTAGGGTGAGTCAGTATGCCGTGTCTGAAACGAGCGATAAGCACGGTTGCGGTGACTTCCGCGTTAAGCTCGCTTAACGGGAGGTGTAATTAATTAGAGGACGAAGTTCACTGTCCTTTAGAGCTGACTCTACCGCGAGTGATGCCGCCGGCGCTCTCTTAATACTAATCACCTACCCTAACTTTTGCCAGCGTACTCGGGGACGGTCTTATGGCAATTAATTGGCTGACGGGAGACGACACAGAGATGATCGAGACCAAGCAACTTCGTGCGGAAAGAGTACAGCACCGCCGAGTTCTACAGATTGCTCCAGAAAGAGCTCAACTTTGTTGTTTCATCAACTCCCCGCGTGGATCAAACTTTATCTCTCTTCTTAGAAAAAATTGCGAAACTATTTCCTCACGAAACAAGCTGATAATGGAATTTGATACGGTGTACCGATTATTCTTTGACTTTTGTCCGCTTCCGAATGCATCAGCTGATATATATATAAACAAACACCCGAGTTACTTCGTACATCGCTCCGAATTTGTATTAACGCATAAGAAATTAATTATTTTTTAATTGAAATCGCGTACGAGGATTTTACTTATTTTATAAATGCAGAATAGCAAGTTTCCTACTCTTAAAAACGATAAAATTTATTTACAGATTTTAATCTCAGAAACAACAAAGTTGTTTTACTCATATTAATAGCTCATGTATAGGCGTTTCTGTGGAAATTCCATTCCAATTCGTCCAAATGTAAATTTTCCAAAATCAAAAGTAAGAGAAAAATATTACAATCTGTTTTTCTAAAAAAATGCGGAACCGAATAAATATTACTATAATATTATTACACATTAATGTTACAAGGTTTCAATTCCATGAATTGATACGGCACATGCAATGTAGCGTTATTGTGTTCGACGAGTAGATGACCTCGCCTGGGTGACGCACCTACAACTAAAACTGTCTCTCCTTTCAAAAGGACCACCTCGCCTTCGCCTTCTTCTGAAAAATATTTATTATATTATATATTAAGAAATATATACATTAAATTGAAAAAATATTAGTAATTGCGCAGTGTAGAGCGTTATAAAATAAATATCTAAGGAGATAGTTGGATAATGACAAGATTGAATCTTGGTCGTAAAAGTATCAATTTTCAATAAGAAGAAGTGTAAAATTTAATAATCTTTCTTCTATTTAATAATCGTTCTATACCTGGGAAAGGCATTTTCATAATTCTGGTCTGTGGGTAACCAAGCTTTGTGTTTCCGGTCACGGTATAGGACCTGCTAGGAGGAACAGGTGGCGGCCGCTCCTATATGATAGAAGAAGGATTACTCTTGAATAAATTCTAAATTTTTCATTTCCAACATCATTATGACAGAATTTATGTTTGAAATATTGCAAGCTGTTAATTCATTAAAATATTTTGTTTAAAACATTTCGTTTTCTCTGTTAAACATTTTAGACCCATAAACATAAAAGGATTTAAAAAATCTCTTCATCACAGATTCCATAAAGATTTGATTCTAATTTAGGTTTTTCTAAAATATTTCCTATTATTGTTTTTTTTTTTTAATTTTAACTGTTTCTTCCTATGAGAGAATAGAAGATCCAGGTACTGACCAGATCCAGTCCGAAAAGAGAACAGGTCTGCTGGATCATTTTTTGGTCTGCGCATTTTTCCGAAGGGTCGGGAGGAGGTGTGCCAGCGATTGGTTGCGGTCTTGGACGAGTGCTAGTTCCGGTTACCGTGCCAGCAGCGACATTTCTCTGAACGGTTCCGGTAGTGCCGGTAGTTGGTTGTTGAGGTTTCTTTTGGCCAATGCCGGAAGTCACTCCTAGGGTCGTCCTCCTCAAAGGCCACCCTCTCCGTACCCGCCAACCCCTCCACGTAGCCTGAAAATAACAAATTTAACGAAACAAATTTAGTTTTGAAATTGTTCGCTCTATTCTTTTTTCGCACTAAATGTAGAAATCATTATCAGTATAAACCGGGTATTTCTATAGCCAAATATTTATCCAGTATGCCAAATTATGTTATATAATTTCTTTTTTCACCTTTTAAGTTACCATCTATACCAATCACAGTACTTCGAGTATTAAAGTATAATTCCCAAAATAACAGAATACATTTGTACTCGCAAGATATTCGGGGAAATTGGATATCCACGTAGTACTCAAGTACTTGAATATTTGCATATTGACGACACTAAAAATAATTAACAAGTGCCTCATCAGAAAATTTCAAATGATACTTACGATGGTCACATTTACGATGGTATCACAGAAAACAAATTCTAGGGAAGAGAAGTGGATTGATAAAAAGGTAAATGTGCCTACCTGAATTATTATGGCGGCTTTCCTTCGTGTTTCCGCCCGTAGGTTCTCAAGCTGCTGCCTGATACCTTCGCTGAGGAAAATGTGACGCTTGCCGAGGGCCCAGCTAGTGCTGGCACCGAATTTACTCTTCAGCTGCTGCGCGTTCTGCAAAATCAATTTCGTGTCCTCGACAGCCTGTTCCTCAGCGCGGCGCAGCTGCTTGAAGGGCGCGATTAGCCTATACCTCGCGTTGAAGGCTTTAAATCGCATCCTATGCGGGTATCCTGCGTGAGTTACCATAAATATTACCTCCAGAACTTCATCGCGACTAAATGTTGCAGTGTTGTGCACACATTCCTATAATTATCCTACGTGTCTTCTCCTATCACCAAGGATTTATTAATCAACCGAAATTTCCCTAATCACCATAAATTTTCTAATAAAGCGATAAATGTCAAATATTATTTTACCTCCTGCCATGAGATTCACCGTCTCCAGGACCTGCAGCGAGCGTATCTGGCGCATTGTAACTCCTCTGTCAAGATGCATCGGTGTTTCAGTGCCATTGCTTCTGATACATCTAACAAAGTGCGGTCTAGCATGGACCAAAGTCCTCAGGAGATTATCTAATCTCGTATGAAAATCCTGCGTCAACGTCGATATCGGCACGTCCCCGTTTGTGCTGCGGAGAAGAGCTTTTACTTTACCCTCCCTTGCATTTTGTTTAAGTTTCATAATCGACTTAATATCAGCGAATTATGAATAAAAGTGTTCACATTACTTAAATCACTGTTGCAATATAGAGATTACTTATTTCAACAATTATTTTCTGAGATTTGGAGATCTCGAAGAATTTATTTTTAACAAATATATTGAAATAATTTTTATTAAGATTATGTCTGAATTGGAATAATCTTTTTGATTAACACTGAATTGGTTGGTTACTTACAGATCGGTATGAGAAGTCGGCGATATTCGAAAACTGACGCCCCTCGGGACAGTGTCACTCGCATACAATGCTTTCAGCTCACTACCAAACAAATGTGTAGCGAAACCGAAACTGCAAGCGTGCTTATAAAAGACCGCCACCAAATCGTCGGGGACAACATCTTTGTTTGTGTCTATAAGATAGATAATTATTTAAACTAGAGTTATTTGATTTAATTAATTGCAAAGAAGCTGTCAGTTTTTATCCGAATATATAATTATTATGGTCAATTAAATAATATTATACAGGGTGTTGGAAAAAGGCGGTGCCATATTTTAAGAGTATGTAATATACATGAAAACAAACCAAAAAGTCTAACTAAGCAATACTACAATATGCTCCTAAAATTTGGTACTACTTTTTTTCAACACTCTGTATATAATATATACACATTTTATTAACTTATACACATTATACTAATAAATAAAGAACTTAATCATACTTCGGCTTGATAATATTTTCGAATTACGAAACTTCATGAAAGAAGTTTTACACACCTAGAAAGTCCGAAGCGTCGTAAGTGACTCTTCCTGCGAAGTGCTGAATGCCGAAGGATCTGCAGTCGACTGTTCTTGGCTCGAACAGCCGGGGATTCTGCTTGTGCTGCACCTTTACTTTGGCGACATAACTTTCGGCAGTTCCGTGTATAGAACCTTCCACATCTAACATACTTAGCAACCCGGTGCGCTGTAAAGCAGAATCGCACAACAAACCTATTAACACGATCTTCAAACCGTAAGACAATGATTAAGCTAAAAAGAGATGGAACTTCTCTGAGAATTTAAGAGATTTAAAATTCTCCGAGTTATCACGCTATAATTATATTTTTCAACGTATATAAGCAATATATCTTATCAAAAAGATATGAAAATAAATATATATATATGGTTAATTTTCTTGTCGAGACAAACATGATTTACTAGATCGTGGATATTATCTTCTTCCAATATATTCTTCCAATACATCTTCAATATAAGAAACTCACCAAAGAAGAAATGAGATCAATGCATGGCACGTTGTCGACGTAGTCAACTTCGACGTCGCACGGGATACCTTCGTCACGGCAACTCTCGATGGAGCTTTTGAATATGTGAGTGTTATAGAAGTGCTGCATCGTCTCTGCGCAGAGATTGATGCAGAGGTGCTCCAGCTGGCTCGGCTTAGGGTCCTCGAACCCGAACATGTCCAGGATGCCGATGAAACCGTCCGTGGCATGTCGCACGGCGTTATTCAATGCGGTCATGCTTCTAGATCCTGTTCCCCCTGTAAGTCCCGAAAGACCCTTCCTTCTTATTTCTCTTACTACATTAAAGAATGAGAAGCATGTGATGCGTCTACGAAACGACGCGTGATTATCGAAGAAAATTCGTCGCATTCATCGTAGTCCGGGTTTCTCAAAACGGACCTTCTTGAAAAATCAATATTGAGTTGCTTTGAATTAATTATTTAATTCTTAAATGTAATAATAACCGCTCAGATTTTATTTAATAACAGTGTAATGAGAGGTTACAACGTAGGAATTTAATATACACGACGAACATTCTCCTTTGGCTATTGTGATTTACAATTAACGTTGTACTAAAGTTGGTGCAATAGTTGATGCAATGAAGACTCACCTGCCGAACTGCCAATGGTAGAGGCGTGTTGGCTAGTAACCTCCGCTTGATTATGAACAGATTCGTTGGAATCCGACGAGAGAGTGCCAAGTGTGGAGCCGAGTCTCTTCAAGCTGTTAGCTCGTCTTACTATTGTGGCCACGGTACGGCAATAGAGCGCTTTTGCCAGCGAATCCCTGGTCATGTTAGACTGCGCAAACAAATACTTTTCAACATTATAAGACAATACTTGATTATACAGTGGCGAGCAATCTTTTATTGCGGTCTAATTCAAAGTGATAAAAATGTGCGATTACTTAATGTTTTTACTACATTCCGCTGAAGGATACAAAAAATATAAAATAAAACGATTCAACGCTCGATATCTGAAAGAGGTTTTTAACAAAATATTTGTAATATTAAGAATTAAAAAACATTTTTTTAAGAATTAAAACTTTTAGAATAAAGTTTGAAATATCTTTTATTTCTACACGGAAAAGAAATAATTTTAAATCAACAATAAGTATTCTTATACATAAGTAAGAATATTATAATATTCTTAGAAGATTTTTAGCCTTGAACTGAGTGCAAGTAATATTTAAATAATATACAAATCCAATCAAATGAAGACTAAATATCTTCTAATAAGATTGACATTTTTGCTTATATATGAGAATATCTATCATTGATTTAAGACTAATTATTTTTCGGGTAATGCTTTGTCTTAAATTTTGGAGGACAAAGAATTTTTGCAAAAATAAATATATAAAAATTCGATAAATGTAACGATCTAATCCAATCCTTAAAATTTCAAATTTAAAACATAACGATTTAAACACTGATGTGCCTGACGAACAGAAGGTTTAATGTCACGAACAGCGTGAGATTAATGTACCAAGCAAAGCAATCACTTATCCACGAATCTGGAGGGTCTGAGATCTTACAATCTAACGGATCTAAGTGTGTAACGCCCCAAGGGCTAACGTCTGTGATGTTTTAGGGATTCAGATCAAAGAGTCCCTTGATCCGTGAATCTCAACTTGGACAAGATGGGAAATTGCTCATCACTGCTCCGTTTCATCAGTAAAGTCTGATAGTAATACCATGTTGGCGTCGCAGACGGATTTAACGAGTTGGCCACGCGCGTTGTGAGTCCTCGAGGTGAGTCCTCGTAACAAAGCTGGCGGAGGAACTCCCAGGAGTGCAGCTACGGAAGATAACTCGTTCTCACCAATCACTCCTACTTCCACGCCTGGTCCGTCTGTGAAACCGACGTTCCCGAGGATGAGTACCGCCGCTAGTACCCTCACGACGTCCAAAAACGGAATGCCAAGAACGCCTGCGGGAAGATGAAGGATGCAGGATCAAGGATAACTATATTAATTTGCAAATGCATATTTGCAATTTGCAAATATGATGAAATGTAATGCAATGCTTTTTCTTGTAAAACAGCTATAGTTAAATATTATATTACAAAGAGATATTGTATTACGTTACAAAGTCCTCAACAGAAATAATGACCTATTTAATTGGATTAGAAAAGAATTAATTTTTTTATTGAATTATATCTGTCAGAATAAGCCAGATAATTTTTATGTCAGGATATGAGCTATTCAAATTCCTGAGTATTATATTGATTCTACCTTAAATGAACCGATTTTTGATATTTTATCTTTTATTTGTTTAAGTATTATGTATAATGAGCGGTATTCGAGTAACCGGAAAATTTGCACAGTAATCGAATATTCGAGAAATATTTAAAAAACTCGGATATCCGAGTAGTACCCAAATACACAAATATATTTTATTTGACATTGATTAATTGAAATTGAGAAAACGAAAATTTAATATTATTATTTGTTATTATTATTTTCCACGCAGCATTTCGAGAGAAACACATACCTAAACAAGCTTTCCAAGCTTGAAACCGAATGGCATCCTCAGTTTCGTCCTGCCGTGTATCGCCGTGTTGAAGATACCTCAAATTTTTGAGATTGTATCCTTCCAGATTCAGTTTAACTGTAAGATCAATCGATACAATATACTATGGATTTATTAATATTACATCGTTATTATTTATTTTCTTCACATTAATTATCATAATGACGGTGTTCGATTTAAGCGGATATTACAAGTGCAATTCGCTCCTTACCTCGCTCATCATGGGACAATCCAGCTAACATCTGATAAAATATGTGATAGTTTTTTTCATCCGACAACGGTCTGATCACTCTCGTTTGATCTAGGAAGTAACAATGAATTTTCGTTCTGTACAAAGCACCATCCGTTACTTGAACTTCAATGAAGTGACCCTGAAAATAAACACAGATTATTGCGATATTGTTACTTTCGATATTTAAAAACTTTTATTTTTTACATTTTATTTTTATTTAAAAACATTTATTTAAATTTATTTGAAAAATATTATTTATAAAGCTCTTTGATATCAAATCAATAGAAAGATAAATAAAGTTAATAAAAGCCAGAGTAGAGTTATTTTAACGCCATTTATGCAACTTAAGCAGTTACTTTAAGTACTAATAAACATTCATTTAAATAGAAAAAGCGATGAGGTAAAGTAGTTTAGACGTCTCGGTTTTATACAGACTATTATCGACAGGAATCGACGAAAATTAAAGCGCAAGTACTTGGAGAATATTAAGCAAATAATCTCTTGGAAATATTTACAATAATCATATCACATGGAATACAAATGTGACCAGCTAATGGTACGACGGCTACGGTTTGAATTTTTAAGTCATGTGTGCGTAAAAAAGTGAAGTCGAAATTTCAGTTGCGCTTTAGTTGCGTTTAATTTTCGTCAATTCCTATTGAAAAGAATATTCTTTCCAGAAAATTGATGAGAAAAATTGTTTAAAAAATCTTATCAATAGATATTGACAAGGGTTTGAATAAGACCGAACCGTCTAGACTATTTGATCTTAACATCGTCTTTTTTAAGTGAATATTTACTAGCGTGTTAAATGACTACTTAAATTATATAAATAGTACTAAAATAATTGTACTCTGGCTCTTACTGGCCTTATCCACTTTTATTTAATATTATGCTGTGTTGTCATTGTTATTATCACATATATTATATTACAATTATTATAATATTTTGTACTGTTGTTTGTAATATTTTAAATTCTAATATTATTATTATTAATAGTATTTTCATTAAGTTGCCAAATAATCGGATATTAAATTCTATGTTTTGCATGTAGCTGCAAAGAATTGATTACTGATCGTATATAAGTTCTCACTCCTCTACCTATCTTTCTCTCTCCCTTTCCTCCTCCTTCTACTTCTATCTCATGCATTTTGAAGCGGAGCACTTACTATCCTTGAGCTCTCGGAGTTCGTGGCGGTTTTCGCTGAGCCCAAGGATCTGAGAACCGTGAAGGCTGCCGCTAGATGTTTGAAAGCGTCCGTTTCCGGTCCGCCGCCGGCGACGTCGAAGAGTTGCCTAAGTAACAGCATTGAAGCGTACGTTTTTCCGGAACCGCTCGTCCCTGTAGAAGAAGTTCCAGAAATCTGCATTCCTGAAGAGCGGAAGAGGAGAAAGAGTCCGTTGGGAATCTTACCGGAAAGGATGATTGCTTGCGGATACCCGGTCTCCGATTGCTGCCTCACAGCTTCCTGAACGACCTTGTTCAGTTGGGGTGTCAATGGCACTGTCCTGGTGCTCGTTAAGGTCAACGGATTCCCGACGTCCGTGTATGGATTTACGCAAACCAGTATGGGACCTACGTTCGTCTGTAGCAATAATTACGTTTCTTTTGTATACGGATTCGTTTTCTAATGGACATTTCTTGTGACGCAGTTCAACAAAAATGACTTTTTTCGAATATCAGAACGAGACTAGTCATTTCCTATAGCTTTTTGATGCTGAATACGAATCCGGTTTCCATTACGTCACAATTTTGAAAAATGTTTAATTGTAGTATAAAAATGGGCTATTTTCAAAATGATGAATACAATATAGCAAGATTTGAAATATCCGAATTGTTGTAAAAATATATACTGAATTATCTCATCGTTAATAACATACCAAGATAAGATCTCTGCATACTCTGAAAGATCTTTATATTTTCAAAATGTTGAGTTAATGTTTTCTTAACAATTCACTCTACAAATTAACGTTTCTAACATAATTTTGATATACACCTTCTACTTCTTATGCACGATATTGCAATAAAATGTTCTTTCTACGATTATTCTCCCTTCAAGTATATTCTATTTAATTAAATAACATACCAATTTGTGGCTCTCTCAAATCTGTCGTAGATATTAGAATGCCAGTGAAAAGAGCAGGATATGCTAACGAAAAGGGCGATAAAAGCGGCCTAAAGTGTGGAGGAGATTGAAGGAAGGGGACGCAGGAACGAGAGGAAGGGGGTAGAACCAGTCTTTTGGCGGGCCCTGTAGGACCTACAGGTGGAGGAAAGACGGTGGTCGGAATTTGCCTGTGCGAGCTGTAAACAGATCACGCACCTGCATGCATGCCGACGTAATGAGAGCGTCATCAATGACGGAGGAAACTATCTCCCGCTACGTTCATACATAAATAATTATGCCGAGCATTAAATTGCGAAGTGCGAACGGCTGCTTAATACGAGGAAATTGCGCAAAAATCGGCTGCCTCATCAAAGTCCTCGGATAATAAGTCTTCGAGTTCCACACGGTCGCAATTATCTCAATCTGAGATCTTCATTTGCAGTGGATAATTATTTGGTGGATAATCGCAATAGCATCGTTTTAAGAACACTCTCCAGCTTACACTAACCGCTTAGGGAAATGTGCTGCCTACGAATAATTTGTGATTCATATAAACTGCATCTTTCGTAAATTGGAAATGTCGATCGATAAATTTTGCAGGTTCTATTCAAATGTCGAAGTTCAAGTCTGATGGATTGCGTAATGAACTTGCGTAAGTATACGATCAGTTTGCTTTTTATGGTCGAAAGGAGATATCCAATCAACCGCAACCGGCGAAGAAAAAGATCCTCGCTTGCCTAAAGTACCTAAAACACGGAGAAATCAGGAGTTTCTCAATAGGCCGTCTAAACGAGGAACCGTCAAAAGAACCGATCGTTCCGTATAAAAAGTCGATAGCCTATCTCGAAGAGACTAGCTATAGCTGCCTAACCTGATGAATGACTGACAACGAAAGACGCAACAATCTATCGTGATAAACACGAAGGTTCATTCATAATTAGAGTTCACTAATAACTTCCATGAGCTAACTATGAGAAGTTTAAATTAGCAGAGTGCCGATAATGAATTGGTGAATTATTTCTCATATTTGGAACAGTTTTTCACATTTTCTTTTCTAACTTTTTTGTATCAACACTAATATTAATTCTTTAAGTCTTTATTTTTAAGCACCTTGTTCGAGAACTATGAAGATTAAAATTACAGATTATGTTAATTCAGTAATAGACTCTAAACAAGTAGCTTAAATTAGTAGAATGTTGATGAATTGACAAATCGTTACATTTTTTTATACATTCTTCTTTATTTCTTTCTCAATAACTAATAATTCTTTGAGCCTTTATCCATTTTTAAGCACCTCGTCCGAGAACTGTGATGATCAAAATGAGAGATTTTATTATGGAAATAATAATATTGTAATTAAATAGAAACCTGATTCATGCGTCAGCATGGTTCTGGTTAACAGTATATAGCGTATAATAAGAAATGTATAAAAATTAAAGTCGGCATGACCGACCACACCGCCGGAATGCGAGCGTACCACCTGTGCGTGGGTTTCCTGTGGCAGGGTGGCACGCACGAACCGGCCGAGAGACAGGGTGAATTCTTAATGGCGGTGTATCGGCCGCGCGCTGTACTGTGTGTTTGCGTTATTGCGGGCACCAATACCAACAGCGACCGCACACCGTACGCTTCTGAATGCGACTCGAAGCCGCCTCTTTGCATTCCGCTCCGGCACTGTCGCGTTATTCGTGCGTGGCTGCATGTATGTGCGCGACTCGTGAACGTTGGGTTCCCCGGAAGCCGCTTGCACTTTAGGATTCTAAGATCGGAGGATGGGAAGCTGTGTGACTTTTGCGATTACAGCCGAGTTTCATGGTCCTTCGCACGTAGAGTCATATTTCTCGCAATATATCTAGCATTAAATGACTGCCTGATTCACTGAACGCGATCTGCGTGTCGCGAATCCAAATGTCTAACGTCCTTCGGAAGGCCAAAACGCCCAAAACCTCTTCGGCTCTTTTAAGGATCTCTATACGTTTTGATTTGGACATGCGGAATCTTGTGTTTTGGGAAACTTTAAGCCACTTATCTATTTTTTAACGAAAGTATTAGTCTTACGTGGTACTGCTTGGCGCAGAAGCGAGCTTGAAGACACTTGAGCACCGCGTCTTCTGTGAGAGGTCCGGGTAGATGAATGAGGTCGTCCAAGGCCGTGGAGGTCGCAGGGCCGGAAGAAGGTACGGTGGCTTTCGGGAGACATCGGTGTTGGCCTTGATTGCTCTTCGCGTTTTTCACGTCGGCGATGATGCTGGAAATCGGCGGCGACCGGAGGCATCCCAATGCCGTCACGCACGATACTATGCCGTCGTCGGGTACTCCGTTGTGCCGTTTCGAAGGATCTAGGTCTTAACACGTCGGGAAATCTAGACAATCTCGCGTCGGTCACCTCACGACAAATCGTTATCCGTCTCGTGAAACGCGCGAAACGCTTTATTCAAGCTTCGTGCCAATACATGCGGTAAACAGACAGAGACTACCTATGCTGTCCCATCAGACTAAACGATAGTGGTTTCACGACCAACACGGTTATGAATAATTGATCGGCGAGTATCGGATTATAACAGGACATCGTCGTGATTATCCGCAGAATTCTGAGAGACTCGTCCTGTCGAATAGCCGAAGATACCGTGTAATAAAATGCCAGGTAGTTGTGTCAATATCTTAGTATTCAGGTACTCGGGGATTACTCGGTTTTTCTCGGGTATTTTTCGGGTACCCAGTTATTTGCAAATTATCCGGGTACTCGAATACCGTGGTTAGTTCGGGTAGTACCTCAGGAAGAGGAAAGGCGAAATCGACAGGTAAGTGGTCGACATCACTTGCGATTTTGGGTTTCAACTACATTGATTATCTCGGGAAGTACCCGAGTAACATCCACGAATTTGAATACTGGGTAAATATTCGAATACTCGGATATGGAAATCGTTCGGTTTCTATCGACGGCGATAATTCTGGGATACCGGGTTTTATAACGGACAGAGATCCCTGAGTACTAACCAGATATTAAATTATTCGTTGTGGTAGAGTTGTGACCGAGAGTATTTGCGCCGGCGTGATTGACGTGCGGATGAACAATTGCGGAAGCTGTTAACGTGTGACCCGCGGGATGACCGATCCCGTGAGATACGCCGCCACCGGGAGGCAGGGTGGTCCTCGGCGGTACCGCCGGTGCGGGCGAGGAGGGCGCGCCGCTTTTTTCCGGGCTCTTTGACAGGGGCCCGGAGGTGCCGCTCGCCGGTCCTGATGCATTTGCCGGTTGGCTCACGTGCAGCCGGTTCCTTAGGGTCACCAGTTCCGTGCTGAGGCTCCGTAGGCGTTGCTGTAGGTGCACCGCTTCGTTCGATGAGGAAGCATCTGTAAGAATCAAGCAGGGGCCTTCTTTGAGACAGGCTGGTGCCGATAGGGTTAAGGGCGCTACAACGCTATAGTGTGTGGCGTTTAGTCACAACACTTTTGGGCATTATACTTCATATATAATTTAGGTATGTAAAAGTGGAAACATTCCAAACAACATAATATATTATATTTAATCAAACGAATGAATCTCTTATGTTAGATGTTAGGCATTTTAATGAGTTCTTTGGGGCCGAAAAATGGGGAGAAAGCATGTTCCATGTCCCTTTCACTTAACGACACATACGTTGGGATATCGAAATTTAATATAGAAATTTATATCCATTTAATATTCAATATCCTAATTAATATATTATTAAATATCTTTTCGAGAAGATACTCTGACATCTTGCTTTATTCTTTTTGGATATTTGGGTTTTACTCGATAATTAAGGAGAGGTCGTTCTGAGAGCCGCAGTGAAGGGTATGTGTAGAGTTCGCTGGACACGTTCTCCATTTGTGACACATTCTTTCTGGTTCAACATGTTCTCGGCTTCATCTCTCATTATTCTTTTTATCCGTCGCGCTTGTACGCGTCTCTCGAGCGGCCGCGCGCAGCTCTTCGGGTACCGTTAATCTAAGATACAATGGCGGATAAGTCGAAATGAAGGAGGCTGCGCTCTCCATGGACCTCGAGATTTCTCTTCGTCGCCCGAGGGAAACCGAGCACTCCTGCAGTCGATTGTAGTCACGTACCACGCGACCGACCGGTGCGTTATGGTCGTTGAGTATGACCCCGCCGAGATACTGCCGACAGGTGTCTTCGGGGACATTAACTTCTTCGGGAAGGACTTTCTCGAAGAGTGTAATTCAGATCAAGGTTGGGCGTGCCGTTTGAATAATTAAAATCGAAATTAAAAGCGGAAAAATAGCCAACGTCCTTTCAAGAGATGCCAGACTCTGGGACAGATGATGCGTCGCTTTACATTAATCCACGTTTGACCGAACTATTTTTCACATACATGTCAAATAGCTCTCTGTCGTTTAAAAACAGGAATCGCGAAACGTGAAAAAAGGAAAAGGGGAAAAAACTGTCGTTAACATGATTTTCGATAACTGTACCAATACTATGGGGCAATAGAACCATCTATATAGATTGCTTCTATCAATTTTTCGGCTTGTAAAACTAACGGTACAGCGATTTATCGATCTGTGAATCTAGCAATTTACCAATACAAGCGACTCTTCTGACAGCGATGGTAGTAATTTCTACTATCCACCCCATTCGTGTAAATTTGCCATGAATTAGCCCAATTATTACTGAGAACGAATTCATCTAATAAAACATATTTCTCGCATTTATCACAAATACAACAGAGACAAATATTTATATGTCTAAGTAAATTAATTGTTTTTCTAATTTATATATAGAGAATCGAATCGGCTTGAGAGCTGATCAAAGATAGGCACAGTTCCTTCATAATTTTCTTAGATTTCGGCTCCGATTAGCTAATGGAATTTCACTACTGACAATTAAAAATATCAAGTTGATGAAGTGCCAATGACGAAAGTTGTTCGATCACTTATCATGATCGTATCGTAAGCATTACAATGGTCTCTTTTCTTTTCTTTCTACGGATAAATTGCCTATGGTATCTACACAGATCAGCCAGCCAGCAAGCCGACGAGCCAGCCAAGGTCGATTATCAGCGATCTGAAATCGCGTTTCCACCTCATCAGCAATTCTCCATGGTCGATTCTGAGTGCGATCGAAAGTGTTCCTCCGGAGTGTCGCGTTCTTCCAACAGGACGTGTTTTTCTCCCCTTTTCGACCTGAACTCTCTCGGCCTGGTGATACACGATACCTGACGCTTGATTCGCGCCGCGGAACTGGTCTCGTTGCTCGGTACAACTAACTTCCGGATACGAGATTAGTTACATAACCGGTTCTGGGCCGCGAAGTAAGTTGTTTAACGCGCGCGGCGCCTTATTTACGCCCTGCTCTTGCCGGAGAGCCGATTCAATGTAGGATCGTTCCAGCATTCAGCGTCGTCGCTGCGGGTAATGATGATGCTCGCTGATGCTGAACTAGGCGGAACAGTAAGCAAGCGCATAGACGCATACGTCGAGGAAAAAATACTGTGGCCACGAGGGTGCTGCTGTGATTTGAATAAATCGACAGTCGAAAAATGTGATGTCATTCACCTCAAAGCCAGATAAAGCGGCTTCAACTAACGGTGTTAGCATCCAGGTACTCGGATACCTGGGCCTTTCGGGTATTCCCCGGATAGCCGGGTGCCGGTTATTATAGCGGCTAGTGTGCATAGAGTACCTCGGAGAAACGGAAAAACAAAATCGTCTTACGCGAATCAGCTGCTGCAAAAATCAATAACATACGGCGGAAGAGTATATTTGGGTAATTTCTATGAATTTAAGTATTGAGAAAATGTCTTGAGTATCTGGGTAAAAATTATCCGTTTTATATTGACAGTATCAATATCAATGCAAATTACTTTTGCGAAAGTCGTGAAAATGAGAGAAAACTGAAATGCAATTTGTTAAAATGGAAACCAGAGTTACGTTTTTATATCTCAATAATGAAATCACAGCGCGTGTACGATTCTCCTATAAAACAATTCTACTGAATTTCATTGACATATATAATAAATGTATGAAAATAATAAAATTACTAACAACAATAATAGCAATAGTAATAACATAAATAACAGCAATTAGTAAGGCAACGTTAATAAAATCTACAGCAATCGTAATCAGCAGCAAGAAAAATTAAATAGGAGTGACGAATAAATAAATATTGGTCGGGCAAGAAGCGCGAGTGATGAATGTCTCCAAACTTTATTTTCTTGATTTTCTAGGTATCCTGTAATATAGCGGGCAGATCCTACTACGTGGGAATTAAACTGCGCAGGTACCTTCGGGGGCTGAATGCTCCGTCGAAGAAAACAGGTTCTTTTTGTCTTCTTCTCACCGCACGTCTACACTCCATTCGTTATAACTCCTTCGACTAATGTTTCTTCGACTTACATCGCCGCTTTGACCTTCCCTTAGATATTATTCTCTCCGTCTGCCTAATTCTTCGTGGACTCATGGTTCTCCTTGAATCTATAAATGGTCGAAACTCGAAGTCCCCAATTCTTCGAATCTATGAATTCTTGAATTCTAAAACCCTACGGATCCGTGTGTGTGTGATTCCGAGAATTAAATTAATATTATTATCAAAGTAAACTACGTGTCCAATATATATATATATATATAAATATAAATTATACGTATTATGAAATTAAATTATATGAATGATGTAAATTCCGGTTGCAATTACTCGCATGAATTATAACTGTCATAATTTATATAAATTATTAAGCTATTATTGTAAATCATTAATACGTTTAATATTATTAATTCTTACACTATTAACTCTGCAATGCACAGATTATTTTACACACGGAAACCATAGGTCGCCATCAGTCGAAACTCCTAAGGATCAGCTTTCATTTTATAATTAAAAAAATTGGACATACACATATCCATTTTCATTCATTTAATTATAATCGAAAATTCAGCGATCTGTGTCGAAAGTTAATAACTCAACCTTTTGAACTTTAAATGTTAAAACTAAACAAAACTAATAAGTGACCGGGATGAAGAAGGTTAATAATTTTGGCTGAGCTGGAAGATCGGATCAGAGTAACTAGCGCGTGACACCAAATACTGCTTGAAAAAAATTGTGGGGGCGGGGAAAGCTTGAAAGAATGGGAAGCAGGATAAAGAGAAAAAACGAGGGACGAATAGAGATTACCTTAAGTGCACCGTTATGGTTTGGCACAGGTAACCAGATAACGAAAGAGACGAATTAATCGCGGCAGGTACTCTGCATTCCTCCCTTGTGCGCACAGATTACCAAATCGCGGAGAAATTAATGGCGACGCCCGCACGTATGTCGAAACTTAATTCGTAATTAGGCGCAGAAGCTTATCTTAACGCGTGATATATTTACGAATTTAACCGGCCGGTATTTTTTTTCCAAAAAAGAGAATTCCAACAGTTCTTATTCTACCATTTCCGCAATGAAACTCTGCTCGAATTAACCATAAAAATATATTTAACTCCCGGTCTAGTCTGTTTTTCTCGATTATGTTAAAAAAAGCTTCGTGTAAAATAATTCTCGAAAATATGATAATTTTCGTCTTCTTTAGTGATTTCGTGAAATTGTTACACATGTCGAATAAAAGTTAATGGGAAATCAGGGTAATATTTTATACGTAGAAAAAGAATGCTAGATTCCAATAAATGACCATTCCGATATTTCTTAGGAACTTTTACTTTGATCAAGTAATATTTACTTGGTCCAAATAAAATATTTTCCAAGTAAATTATTCAAACAAAATATATATATTTACTTGATCCAAGTAAAATTTATTTAATTCAAATAAAAACTTACTAAGGAGTATTGGAGTCATTATTTACTTGAGTCTAACACTTTCTTTTCTGTATGTGACGATGTAATAATTTTACGGAAATTAAAAAATTTGATTTATATATAGCAATGATCAATGTGTTTGTAGTGGGAAGATTGCATAGCTTAGACATATTGTGGTTCGTACTCTCGTATTTACGATAATTTATTAATTGAAATTTATCAATTAAAAATGCTTAAATTGGAGATACAAAAAGGACGCAAGATTCATAGAGTAGGAAAACGCATCGCAATAAATTGCATTCCTATACACTTCTATATGGTACATCCATCGAAAAGTCAACATAAGCTGTCGAGAAGCGTGGACGGCAGACACTTGCATGATGTCTCCACAGGATGGACGGGAGCGACAGGATATATGAGATAAATAAGCGGCTGTCGGGTCCGTGTTGCCTTAATAAAATGGTAATTTCCCACGGTGCCAATTCGCCCTGGAACTTTGCAAGCGTAACGCCACTAACGAAGTGACAATAAGCGTAACGACCTCACGTTATCAAAACAGGAAGCTTCATCTAGGATAACAGCT